GAATGCCCGATGTTGCACAACGAAAGGGAGAATTTTTAAACGCGACTATAAATAATTCACGCCGATGTATGCGTGGCGCAGCCTGGTTTTTTTTTAAACTTCCGAATGAGAGACTGGGTGTTATAAATTGCTGAGGGAGTTGATAGTACACGCGGTCTCTCTCTTTCTCTCTCTTTCTCTCGCGGTGATCGTCGCGGTCTGCGTTTCTATGTTTAGCAACTCCTTTCACGCTTTCTAAGGGGCCCCGGAAGCCCTTAAAGCGTGTCCCTGCCCAGACAGCAAGTAAAGTGAGTACACTTGCATGCAGTCCGTTGCCCGCAACGGGTTTTCCAGTCTGGACCGTCGAGAAAACCACAGTCGAAAGATCGCTGCGGCGCTTATGCTAAAGTCTATACGCGAAGTCGTAACTTCAAACGTCTCATTCGCGACAGACAATAAAACATACATTTATTTTCAGAAAAGAAATTAGCATTTACTTACAGCATTGAAGATAGAACGTCAAGTCTTTGGCTTCTACCTTAAATATCTATATAAAACTTATATTTAAATAATAATTATCATACATTTAATAGTTTTATTGTAGGAATAGAAATAAAAATGTGTATTGCATGTGCTAAGGCTATAAAAAAGATACTTATTTTATAGAGTAAAGTTATCAGCTACGTTGTGCAATGAACATGCAGAGAGAGAGAGAGAGAGAGAGAGAGAGTTTGCATACTTTAAAGTACTTTAGATACTTTCGACGTGCACGCAACAACAGTTTTTAAATGCATTCTATATTGTCATATTCATAGAAATCTTTCGTAACGGCGAGAAGCGTCTCAAGCGTATTGTTCGTTCGAAGAAAGTTTCGAGAGATAAACTTTGCTAAATGTTTATTTGCAGTTACTTATTGACTGAGTACTTTATCCGAAGTTATCGGGACACCGGTAAAGAGACTAGTGTACACTTTAACCGCTTTCGATTTCTCAATGTCGACGCGCTGTATTTGTACGAGTACAAGTTTTCGCGTAATTTGTACCTTTTAAGGAAAAGTATGTCGGTTCACATTACGCGCATTGCAAATGAAAATTGTCTTTTTCTTTTGCTTACACTCAATAGAAAGTAGTTCCGAGAGATTTTTTCATTAAACGAAATGAGCGCGGTATTAATGGAAAAAGAAATCTAATAGTTAGAAATAAATTATTCGTGGATCTTTTATCTCATAAAATAATTTATTTTTGTACAATAATATCCTCATTGCTTTTAATATACTTTTTTCCCCACATCGAGAATTCCTTATTTTGAAAGGAAATGAGAAAAGAGAAATGGAGATAGCGGATGCGGAAGAAAGCATCTGACGAAGTCAGTGAACTGACGATCTACTGAATTATTTAATACGTGCGAAGTAGTCGCGTGAAACACGGAAGATTACCTGCCTACTTAATAATAGTAGTACATGCGTGATGAACGAATTCGTCAGCGTTCGCAGCGTGAGTACTAACGAACGGATTAAACGTGGCATGTTTTCTTCATTGTATACAGGTGTCATAAGTTCACTGCCTCGTATTGTATGCATATGTGAATTCATAAATAATATTTTTTTTCGGATAAACAATAAAGCATTCAATTTTGCTAATATTGCGAATAACGACGTGGCCACGGTGTAAAATTAAATTCTGAAAAGTATGTCTTAATATTTTGTTCAATATTCTTTTTATTTTTCTAGCTTTGAACAATCGCATTATTTATTAGATGATGTAATGCGGGAAAACTTGTGAGTTTTCCCGAAACTTGAAGAAACTATTCCTTTTCTATTTTCCATGCCATATAAACGCGTGTATAAAAGTTTTGATTCAGAAAATTTTTCAGTACGTATAAACATACAAGGTAGTGCACGTATTGCACATTTATCGTTTGGAGACAGTATTTCATGGATCAATTGTATACATCTCGCAATATGAATGCATCGCGAAGGTTTATTTGTACGGTATCGCGCGTTTGTTGACCATTCAAAAAAATGTCACGTCGACAGGTCGATGCGACACACGTCAGATCGTACGATCGACGGGACTGCTTTGCAACTGTCTGGCGAAAGCCTGCACGGAGTGCCCGTTTTGGTAACTGGAATACGCTACCATAAATAAAAGTTTTACGGAACGCGATTAGGCTCGATAATGACCGCTGCGACGCGAGTTCTATTTACGTCTCTAATTTCTGTCTGATGTATCAAAGACCTGCGAATAAATCGTTCTCGTAGAGAGTGAAACGAGATCCTCTAGATTAAATGGACGCAACTCGACACCACTTCTGTGTCTGTTCTCTCTCGAAAATCTTAGATCATCTGTCGCGAACGGATGACATTAAATTTCTCGCCCACGCTGCTTGCGTGGGTTTTAAATATGATATTGATATACGTTCGAAATGTATTTCATTCGACATTTTTTTAACTTTTTTTGTGGAAAAAAATTTTTAATATACAGCACGGAATATAGAGAAACGAGAGTGCTTCAAATTTAATTTTTGTAAAAAATATATAATTGCGCGTATTTTCATCCTCGTAATATTTAAAAAATAGTATTTAAAATGCACATGTTCGCCGGTGATTAATCTGTAAATTTATCTCTGTTAGATAATATCAATGCTTAAAATAATTCCCTGACGGAGTAGTGTATTTATAATCGTAAAAAAAATTTTTTACTTTCACGTAAATTGCACTTGATATTGGCAAAAAGTGATGGAAAACGTCGTGTATGAGCGCAACAGTAGCGAGGAACTGACTATCGATTTATCGTCATGTCGTGCTTTGAGCGCATGACGATAAAACGTTGCGTCTCGGTAAAACCACCCACAGCTGAGGTATATTATAGTAGTTTTACCGTTACACCTCCCACCACGTTCAGCACACAACATTACATCGTTTCAGCACGCAATATTTTATATAACGGTCACAAAGACATTTCTGTTGTTAACTAAGACCGCAAAAAATGCAAAGAGCGTGTGTCTATTTTTTGATTTTAACTTACCCAATCAATGTCTCTCTCTCTTTACTTCTAACTATAAATATTAAAATTATTTATACATATAAAAATTACCTTGACAGAAAATTAATAAGAGCTGATTTATACTATGAAGTTGTGCTCCGAAACTTTAGTAAACCATTTCTGTTGTGCATTTTGGCCTCGACTGCGTGGCAACTTTATGTCACAAATATTTGTATTCAGTGATGCAGTTTCAGAGATGCTGGGGTATTTACCAAGCGACAAATTATATGGAGGATTTTAACAATGCTGATATTTATTGTTCTCTGAAGAGAACATGCAGTCGCCCCGGGTCCATTGACTCGGCTCGAGCTTGACTTGGCTTTCATCCCGTGCAAACTAGTTCGACCAGTATCTCAGTTTATACAGAGTATTCGCACAATTGTGCCGGAAGTCCTTTTCATTGTGGACTTTATTCGCCCAATTTAAAATTGATGTTTCGTCAACAAAAATGTTGAAATTTTCACAATATCTCAATTAATTAAGGACTTGGATAAAACATGTTTAGCAAATTGAGTTTCCACAAAGATAATTAATAATAATAATAATCTTTAGTCACCTTCAAGTGCACTTTACTTTAATAGAATTTAAATTAAAATAAAATTATGAAGGTAAATAATGTGTATAACAGAAGATTGAAAGGGCGCGATAAATGATGACTTCTAAATTATTCAAAGAAGCCGTGCTTGAAAAGCACATCCGGTGGCTCTATGACACCCTGTAGAACCAGTTACAGGTCGCGGCGACATGGGGCTCGGATATATACCCCACTCGGTGATCCTAAATAGGGGATCGAATACACGGGGTCGGGAAAGGAGGGGTCGGCCGAGGGTGGGAGCAGACAGGGAACAGACAGAGAGAGAGAGAGAGAGTTAGATTTCTGTCACCGTTACAGACTGCACGGCGCCCCACGCTCTAGATCCACGGTTAATTACTAACCCGCGAACTGAAACAAGCCGGACGACACGGACCCACCTTACTCCCCAGAATTAGTCGATTACATTAAGCGTGATTGAGAGGAAGACCGGAACGAGGCTAGTTAATAGAGATGTTACGAAGGATGCTTGTAAAATTGCTCCCAAATCAGTAGGCAGAAATAAATTTTTATTAAAAATTATAAAAAATTTGCAATTCAACAAGAAGACATTTTATTTATTATCAACAATTATCTACAATAATTATTTATTTTGAGTTGTTTTCTTTCCACACAGCTCCGTTTGTCGAATTAACGACTGCCAAATTTCTTTCGAGTACTCCTGATATTGCGAAATATTACGAAAGAATTTTAGTTTATTTTCTCATGTTTAAAGAGCGTGTGTTTGTTCATGAAAATATTCTTAAAGTGTGACATCCTGTATATATATATATAATACATGAGATAATCGTGGTAAATTATAATTCTTAGGAATATTTTCACTTATAAAACCCACACCTACGTGTCCTTGCATTCCTGCAAATGAACGAGTTACATCACATCGCAACGGCGTGCCAAGATTATACAAAGTCGCGATAAAGCTATTGCAGCGATTCCACTTCCTACGTCATCTCGTAAGGTTGTAGTGTTTACGGCACGCAAGCTTTATAAGTTTTCTCTTATAAATATACAATCGCGAAAAGAGTGGAATTTTACGAGAATCAAATTTCGATCTGAAATGCTATTTTGCGTCCTACTTAGGTTGTTAGTTGTACAAAAGGGAATAAAATAACTGATTAACAGCGATATCGAATGTGCTTTGAGAGAAAAAGAAAAAGAGAATTGCACAAGAGTATCTTGAATAAATTCAGCCCAATATTCAGCGCGCATCGCATTTTTTGCGATATTCTATGCATTTCAATTTCATCGATATATCATAAAAAGAAAAATATAAATATGTATAGAAAATACGAATATCGGAAATATAAAGTTTTCTTCGATTTCAATCTTCGACAATATTTTGATTTTAGATATACACTAACATATTTTCTCATTTTTTGTTTCAGGGCGATCCTAGCACTTCATTTTTGCGGGCAGCTCGTGCTGGACAACTCGAGAAAGTTTTGGAATATTTGGAATCTGGAGTAGATATTAACGCTTCTAACGCTGTAAGTTTATCTGCTTATGATTCTTTTCTTATTTTCTAAAATTTTATATAATACGTAATAACTTACTATTCAAGTCACGCCAAGCCCTCTTGTGATACTATTTGTTTTACATATTTTACAGAATGGCTTAAACGCTTTACATCTGGCAGCTAAAGATGGTCATTTGGAAATCGTGAGAGAACTTTTAAATCGCGGCGCGATTGTAGACGCCGCTACCAAAAAGGGAAATACGGCATTGCATATAGCTTCTCTTGGTGAGTGGACACATTCTCATCTTTTTCTCGTCCTATCTCTTGCGCGTACGAGCGTCGTGTGTTGCTTATTAAATGCATACGGGACAAGGACGCAAGTGATTTTAAATAAACATTTATTTTTGGAGTCTTATGAATTCTCCAGTAGCCCGCATCGGGAAACTAGTATTCGACGAGAGTCGAATAATTCACGTGTCATCAATGTCTTCTTTTAGCTGGACAAGAGGAGGTTGTACAATTGCTAGTGCAACGTGGTGCTTCTGTGAATGCACAATCGCAAAATGGATTTACGCCACTGTACATGGCTGCCCAGGAAAACCATGATTCTGTGGTCAAGTACCTTCTCAGCAAGGGCGCGAATCAGACGTTGGCCACCGAGGTTTGTAGCCAAATTGTCCTTTCACTTTTTGATAATTTCGCATCCTCGCTAAACGTTCGACAGATTTCATCAAATTTAATATATTTTTAAAAGTTATTAATATATCTATCTTGTTTTTTTACATAGGATGGTTTTACTCCACTGGCGGTGGCTATGCAACAGGGCCACGATAAAGTAGTAGCTGTTCTATTAGAAAACGACACCCGCGGTAAAGTTCGACTGCCTGCTCTACACATCGCCGCTAAGAAAGACGACTGCAAGGCAGCTGCCCTACTTTTACAAGTGAGTTGGAACGCGTTTTGTCAGTCGGAACTCGTATTTTAGATAAACTAGTAATAATAATAAATGGAAATCAGTTCACAATGTATAGTTTCTTCAATTTTTCTTTTCGTTACAGAACGACCACAATCCCGATATAACATCGAAAAGCGGTTTCACTCCGCTTCACATAGCCGCACATTATGGCAACGATCGAATCGCTTCCTTGCTTTACGATAGAGGCGCGGATGTTAATTTTGCGGCAAAGGTATGCAGTATTTTTGTGAAAAAAGAAGAAAGATTGAAAGATTGTTTCAGATATCTAAATATTCTTTTTGCAATTGCAGCACAATATCACACCAATACACGTAGCAGCAAAATGGGGTAAAATTAAAATGGTTAATCTCCTTATGAGCAAGGGAGCAAACATCGAAGCAAAAACGAGAGACGGTCTAACTCCTTTGCACTGCGCGGCCAGATCCGGCCATCACGAAGTAGTTGACATTCTCATCGAGAAGGGTGCACCTATCGGTTCCAAAACGAAGGTAAATTTATCCCGTCGTATGTTTCTCGCGATTGAGACGCGTTTCCCGCTTGTCGAGATTAGTTTAACTTGGTTTCTGTTGACAGAACGGCCTTGCGCCGTTACACATGGCTTCTCAAGGGGATCACGTCGACGCTGCGAGAATTTTGTTATACCACCGTGCGCCCGTAGACGAAGTGACGGTGGACTATTTGACTGCGCTGCATGTGGCTGCGCACTGCGGCCACGTACGAGTGGCTAAATTACTTTTGGATAGAAACGCCGATCCCAACGCGCGAGCGCTCAACGGATTTACTCCCCTTCATATCGCATGTAAGAAGAATAGAATAAAAGTGGTTGAACTTCTCCTTAAGCACAAAGCGAGCATCGAGGCTACGACTGAGGTACAAAACGTTTTTTAAATTGATATTACTGCAATATTACTAAGATATTATATACACAAACGGAAATATGTAACAATATTGCATATTCTTTTCAGTCTGGATTGACCCCGCTGCATGTAGCCAGTTTTATGGGATGTATGAATATCGTGATTTATCTATTGCAACACGAAGCTAGCCCCGACATACCGACAGTGAGGGGCGAAACGCCATTACACTTAGCTGCCAGGGCAAACCAAACTGATATTATTAGGATACTTCTTAGGAATGGCGCCCAGGTCGACGCCAGAGCAAGAGTAAGTATTAGTTTCATCGTAGAATAATAATTAATATGAATAGTTATTGCAGAAAATAAATTTATCAAATGAACACGATTTAAGATAAATATGAATTGTTTGTGTGCAGGAAGAGCAAACACCGCTTCATGTCGCTTCCCGTTTGGGTAACGTTGATATTGTGATGTTACTGCTGCAACATGGTGCAGGCGTGGATGCTACAACGAAGGATTTGTACACTCCGCTTCATATTGCTGCTAAAGAAGGCCAGGAGGAGGTAAGATCACTAACATTTGCATAACGTAATGGTGGAAAATACGTGTTTTGTATCACCGTTGAGTGATGTTCGCGGAACACGCTGTAATCATTGATTTTATCTCTTTGACCAATTACCGAGAAAACAATAACCATTCATTAAAAGATTTCACACTCTTTTGTTTTCCAAGCGTAACCAATGATATATTTCCTACAACGTGTTTCTGTCACACAGGTTGCATCCGTTTTATTAGAAAATAGCGCATCGCTTACCGCAACGACCAAAAAAGGATTCACTCCTTTGCATTTAGCAGCCAAGTACGGCAACATGAACGTAGCTCGATTATTACTACAAAAGAACGCGCCTGTTGACGCTCAAGGAAAGGTAATTATTTAAAATATAAATTAATTAAATGTTTATTATTTGTTTATATTCTCTTACAAATATTTTTGTTTATTAATTGCAGAACGGAGTAACGCCTCTTCATGTGGCGTCTCATTACGATCACCAAAACGTGGCATTACTTTTACTAGATAAAGGAGCTTCACCTCATGCTATGGCTAAAAATGGCCATACACCTCTACATATTGCAGCACGCAAGAATCAGGTATGATAATACGATTTGAATTATGCGATAATAATTATGATGACAATAAAATAAATGTTTGTTTTTGATAGATGGATATTGCAACTACATTGCTAGAATATGGAGCAAAAGCCAATGCAGAATCAAAGGCTGGTTTCACACCATTACATATTAGTGCACAAGAAGGCCATACTGATATGTCAACCCTTCTTATCGAACATAAAGCAGACACAAATCACAAAGCAAAGGTAAATAAAAAGAAAAGGAAAAATTTTATTTTTAACTAAATGTTATGTTAAATTTTTCATAAAATTTATTTTTAACAGAATGGTCTTACGCCTCTACATTTATGCGCACAAGAAGATAAAGTAAATGTCGCCTCTATTTTAGTGAAAAACGGTGCTCAAATTGACGCCAAAACCAAGGTAATATAATTGATGAAACTTCCTCCAACTTTATCATGCGTAACACATCAAAGTAATGTCTTTAGTCATAATATTAGTACTTCATACATAATTAAATTACCACGAATGACATAATCTTCACAAGCGACTTTCTTGCTTTGTATTTCCATTTATAATCCACTCTTTGAAATACTTCTTAATTTCTACTTGCTTAGTGCAATGCAGCGTGCAGTAGCGTGACTGCTGTTGGTTTTAAAGCATTGTTGCAAACATAATACATTAAGTTAAATGGTGAATAATTAAATAAAACGTTATTTAAATTCAATTTTGTTTAATTAAATTATTTACGAAAGATTCTACATTGCGAATGTGTTACAGAAATAAATCTCGTTCATCAAATTCTGTATGTATCATTTCAATTTCTTTTCTAGGCTGGATATACGCCGTTGCATGTGGCGTCTCACTTTGGTCAGGCAGCAATGGTACGATTTCTTCTGAGATCCGGTGCTGCTGTTGACAGCAGTACAAATGCTGGCTATACTCCCCTCCATCAAGCCGCGCAACAAGGACATACGCTTGTTATTAATCTATTATTAGAAGGCAAAGCTAAACCGAACGCCGTGACTAATGTAAGTTTTATTCAATTATATTAAAATTCTACATGTGAAATTTTCACGCAATTTTAAGATCCATCCACCGGCTAAAACTTAAATTTTCGCGCATTTAAGGAAACTGGAAACTTAGATTTTCTGAAAAGTTTCATGATAAAAAGAATCAGAATACAATACATTTGATTTTATATTAATATAAAATATTTTTTACAGAATGGACAAACTGCTCTGGATATCGCACAAAAGCTCGGCTACATAAGTGTTATTGAAACATTGAAGATCGTCACAGAGACTGTCATCACAACGACTCACACCGTTACTATCGAAGAGAAGTACAAAGTCCAAGCACCCGAATCCATGCAGGAGACATTTATGAGTGACAGCGAAGACGAAGGTGGTGAGTATTCGTGTCTACGAAAACATCTATTCTCTTATATATTGCTGCTTACTATGTCTATTTGCTGCATAATTTATTGATGATGACGTGCGATATTGGAACATAACAGACTGTTATAAGAGCTTTAATAAGTATATCGAATATAATGCTGTTGTTTCTGATATCGCAATAATTTCCGTAAATATGTATTTTGACAGCTTATCGCTTAGCATAATTATTTTGCCTTGCATATTAGGGTTTCAGCGTCGAAAATAAAATAGAAATAATATATGGGAGAAACTGAAAGTTGATATTAAAACAATGCTTTGCTTTAGCTGATATAGGACGCATATACTATTTCACAAACTTTTTAGTTCTTAAGGTGCAACTACTTTCTCTTAAACGCTACTTTCGCATAGGCTATACGTTGTCGCAGCGTATTATCGTGATACATAGATGAAATAGGATAGATCTCAAAATGAAGGTGAAGCTTTTAGGCAATTGCAATGATTGCACGTCAGGATTAAGGAAAATCAATAATGAATTATTGCATGGAGGAGAAATCTAATTAAAAGTACATATAAATATACATTAATAGATAATAGATAATAGATAAATATCCCGTCCAATGACGTAATGCGGAGATGAGGTAGAAATTGAATTAGCAGTAGACTCTTGAAAACACTGTAGTTTTTCGCATGCCCGCGTACACTGCATGATGCGAACACTATTAACATGTAGAGTTGGACATTGTAAATAATTTCCTGATAGGAATTTATACCCTTCCCCAATCCACATGATCACAGCGGTGTAAGCAACACGAGATAATAGGAATACATAAAGAAAAACGCGAGTTTTAATCAGGAGAAATTAGTTCTATTCGTCAAAGGTCTTTAGGTCTTTAGTTTTACAAACTTACAAACTATGAATATACAAAGTGCTAAATGGAATTATCATTTGCTTGATTGTTGCGTTTATGTTACCTTCATTTTGCAAAAGCATGCATTTAGCCAATATTCACTGGGTTGTTGTACATTAAATCTTTTTCAAAATTGAGATGAATAAATTAATGTTAAAATCAAGAAAGTAGAATATAAATTTAATATTTGTAACACGAGTACAAAAAAATTTGTCGTTATTTAATAATATTTTAATATCATCAGATTGTATATCAGATATTAAATTTTATATGTTGTATTTTTTAACAAGTAAATTTACAAAAACCAGAGAGTCAAAGATTCGATTGTTACAGCATGGCAGTTTATTTTCCAACAGTTTATTTCTAACAGTAGGTACATTTTAACATACCCACTCCTATCTGAGAATTATCTATAGTCATAGAAAGACGTATGTATTCTAGCTGCAACAGAGGTGTAATTCATAGGAGTTCGTTTAACAATTTAGCGATATTAACGGTTTGCTTGTTAAGAAGCCACACCATCGCGCGCATCTCGTTTTCAATTCCCGCGTAGCGTCGGCATTAATCTTTTTTTATTTATTTTTTTTTTTTTTAAACTATTAACAACCCAGTGATAGAGCGAAACTTAGAGAAACAGTGTATATGGTGCGAGATTAGCGTTCTGATGAAACCATGACCTTACCTCGACGGCGTACGATGTATGTAGGTGGTGATGAAATCAACACGGCAGCCATGAATGTGTACGGGCAGCCTCCGCACGCGCAACACGTGTATCTTCCTTCTTACTACCAGGGCCAAATGACCTATACCCGTAAGTTGTCTGTACTCTGTTTCTGTCACTCTCTCTCTTTCACGCGTTCCCAGCGGAACGTTACCGCGGCAAATATATATACATCTATATATGTACACTAGCACTGTCTCAAACGACGTAATCGTGAGATAATACGTGATTGCCATTCTCTTGTGAGCATAATAGCTGCTTTGTTATTTCTGACGATTAGAGCATCGAGACGTAGCGGCGTATGATGTTAGAATAGCATCCGATCATCTTCACTATCGTTGTTTTTTTTTGTCGGCGAAATTCGCACATCCGTAAAAAGCGGGTGTATAAGCATTCTACTACTCATTCACGTACGCTTCGTACAGTTCAATCTATTCGAACATCTTTCAACAATCTTTCGTACATCAGATTTGCATACAGAGACACGCACAGACACAACCATCCCTCGCCCGCTATGTTTGTCACGTTAATTGTTTCGTTCGTCTCCCTGTCATCCTTTTCTTCTCCGCAACTTTTTTTTTTTTCACGATAGCAATACGATAGTTATTGAATCATGTCACCAGCCAAATGTGCTAAGCCCAAGTTATAATTTTTAATTTGACATCCCATGCACGAAATAGAAAATCCTAATTGAGAAAAAAGCGCTGAAAATTGATAATTATTTTTTTAACATTTTAAAGTTTGATAAACTTCGTTGCTTTCTAGTTTGTATAATTCGCGATTTGTTAGCCGGCGATAACGACGTCGCCGTAGTGTCGAGGATTTAGAATGCACTCGTTGCATACACTTATTGCATATTCCTAAGGTTTTTTCTCTTAGGTTTAGGCTTAAACACAAATAAAATTTCTGTCTTAAGACTCTATCGGACACAATTCCGATCTTATTATACAACTCTTTCGTGAAATATATCGTAGTTGTGTACACATTTGTTATGCAATCACATTGCTCAATCAAATGCGCGATATATTATAAAAAACAACGTGCATATCGCTGGTGTCATTATTATTATTATGCCGTATTATTACGCCGTACGTAGCAATTAGACAACATCAATAATGAAAAGATTCATTATTTATAATTCTGTTCAAGAAGAAAAATAGATTTGATGAAGAAACCGCAGCACATACTTTTGCTCTTAGATGTTGAAGCTGATACTTCAAAGAATACGAGTTAAAGTGTTAAAATATTTGTTTGTACTCGAAGAGCGAAAGCATTTGCTGTCAAAATAAAAAATTAGCAGAAGATGCCGCAAAAAGATTTAAATAATAAAAAGTAGGAATTGTAGAACGATGACGTTTGCAAGCAAACACTCTACGGCAAAAAGCAAACGTTTCCCAGTTAAAAGCGAGAGATTATTTGTCTTTGCTACACTTTGCTTCAACTTAAAAACAAATGCTTCTGTTTTCCGCATTTATTGACACTATCTGTCTTCGATCTAGCGAACTAGACATGTGTTTCTGTAGGTCGTTACGCTATTGTATACTTGCACGTGCGAAACGTGAATGCATCGGAGTCGTTGCAGCGGTGTAAACGGACTCCTTGCTCGTGACGACGTCGGGAATAAGAGCCGTACGAATTTAACGTTACGGGATCCGCTAGCATCCTCGTTGATGCAGTTTTATGTACGTAGTGTAGCTGCGACGAAGTAGGGCGTGCTGCTACTGTTAATGCAATTTACATAATAACGAGCTGCGCGATCCATTATGCCAACCAAACGCGCGCGCGGCCCGCTTCGGCGCGCTTCGACGTCGTCGTCGACGCCGTTACCGGCGTCGTCGTGGTCGTCGTAGTTGTATCTGCTACACATATTGCCCTCCTCTTCGGCTACCTGTTATGCAACAGTCGGTGTGCGTGCCGTGCTGCGTTATTAGTGTAGTTAGTCCAACCCTTGCCGCGCTTGGCGTGCCGCCAAATACACGATCCCGAACCGAAATAATTTTAAATTTATATAACGCGCGCCGCGGTTGATCGATTAAAAAAAATAAATAAGTAATAGAATGTGTAACGTATACGCCCACGCTTCCGTGCGTAAACTCGCGTAAATAAGCACGTTTTAAGCGGGATCAGTCTACAATTAGCGGTAATAATAACGGTGAACCTCGGAAAGCGCGCAAAGGATTCTTTTAGTGGAAGGAAAGAATTCTTTCTTTAAACACTTTATCGATGTTGCTCGTTAGTTATGAAATTGATCTTACTGTCTATAATCATGTCAAAACAACGCATTTATCGTATTAGAAGCGGAAAAAAAAAGATAGTCGCGACGAGCGATTCCGTTATCTTGCATTTGCAGCAAGCCTTTTGCTTTTTTTCACAGGATGAACTTTGACCTAAACAACGTTTTCGTAATACATTACAAATTAGCTTTATCTACCACGCTTTACTACGTGATTTCGATCACGCAAGTCGCCAATAAAATATCCTCGCGTGCTTTCGCTGTTCTTTCCTTTGCGCTTTCCTTCGCGCCGGCGACGGATACTCGCGCGATAAATAAAGTAGTGGAAATGTTCAAAGGCAGTTACTATTATAAAATTGGTGATTCACGGAATGAGGTCACGTTTCTATCGAGCTAGGCTCTCCTATGCGCGCTGGTCGAACTTGTATTAATCTTTCCGAACAGCAGTCGCTGTTCCTGACCCCGTCGACGCTGCCGCCGGGCGCGCGCGAAAATAAAGGAAGTATTCAGCACGCGTGCTTAATGCAATTAAATGAATTGGATCTAATCGAGTGGATACTTAGTAGCTCTCGTCGCCCTATCAACCGCGCTGGTGTGATATTCATAGTGAGGCCACGGCTTGTTCGATAAGCCGTTTATTCGTGCGATAAAAACAAGTCGAAACATCATCCACCATTTCTCGGAAAAATTAAAGCCGATAACTAAATCGCCTTATAATTGCTGGCGGAGATTATCGGCTGAAATTGCAGCCGTTTAAAATTTGATCTACAGCTACTTATATATTCTATTCGACTTATGCCACCTGCATATTGAATGCACGCGTCGCATACGAAGTTCCGGGGCGGTCTATCGGACGCCGCATCGCGATAGTGCATCAGTGCGTTAACGGCGCTCGAGGATACGGAACGCTTCTTCTCCAGGAGGGAGGCCGACAGAATTCTGCAACTCTGTGCCGCACTCATTTTTCGCGTCGTCGAGAGAGAGGAACGCGGCAACAGACATGGCCAAGGGAAAAGCGAAGAAAAAACGATTTACATGCGGCTGCTCGTGCGGGTGTGGCAACAGGAACAGCGACGTATTATGTAAATATCGTGCATCTGTTGTGTTACACCGCTTTTGCCACCGCCAGCCATTCGTTTGCACGGACGCGACCCTCTCGATCTAATCACTCGCGCGGGCGAGCGGAAATCGTCGAGCAGATGCTACGAATTTTTTTTTTGTATCCGCTTAGTACAAAACACGCCGCTGTACTTCCCTAGGTAATCAGGCATCACCGCGGACTTCCTTCGAACATCAGTTAAGGCTTTGTCTATCTGCAGCACGGATATTTTTCTCCTAAAAGTTGACAATTAACTCATTATTTGTCAAGAAATTTTGTTCTTATTTAATTTGTTTTATACATGAGATGAAGTAAATTAAGATTATCGTGTAATTAGCAGTCTAATCAAGTAGGCAAGTAATCATACATATTCTTAAAGAAGCAATAATTAAAGTCTCCTTGAAATTTTTTAGCGAGTTTTTATCTCTTACTAGCTAACTTAACACTAACTGTGTTTCTAGGAAAATAAAAACATTTAAGTCATTGTCGGTTAATTTATCGGAAGGACGTTTGAAGTAAAGACGTCAACACTGTACTTTAAACGACGCAGTAAAATAATTTAGCGACAATTATTACGTAAACTTAAAATTAACGCGACCGTGAAAAATTAGCAAGAGTGATATAAAGAACTTTTTTGTGCTAAGTGAGGTTTTGTTAGGTTTTCCCTGATAACCAGTACTTACAGAATGATAACACGTATCGCGCCACGCGACTCTGTTTTCATAACGCTGATTATGTTAATGAAAGTGAAATACTGATTTCCCACACAGGTCTTTCTTGTATGACATTCTCTGGTAACAAGATTATCCGGCTTATTAACTCCAAAATGTTATGTAATCAGCTCGAACTGGCTGACTAAAATAATTTAATTTTCTGATACTTTTTTGAAACAATTTTTATCTTGCTATAACTTTAAATAATTCATATGTTTAACTGTTATACGTATAAAGTAGCATTTTAAAAATTCAAATTATCAATTTAGATTTTTAATTTGCATAAAATTTATATTCTTTATTAAAATAATCTTAAAAGTACAGAAATTTTTGGACTATTAAAATATTTAGATCTCAGATTATTAGTAATAGATTTCCAACGCTCTAATTTAACACTGGAGCTTTTTATTTTTATACGAGTGACAGTTAATTTATTTTTATAGCAATCAGTTTCCAGGTCAACAGCGATATAAAAATATGCAAAAAATATTACATTTTTAAATGACATGAGAAGTGCACAGCGACTCGAATAGATGGTTAAAAACTCATATTAATATGTCTCGAAATATCTCGAGGCGGTTTTCACCCTAGAGGCAACACATGCTGAACACGTCAACCGTCACATGTTACTCCACATTGTGTATTTAACAACGTCGGTACTACTATGTGATAATCGATGCTTAAGAAGAGATAACAGACGCGGCGTGCCACGCCACGCGACTGTGTTTTCATAAGCTCGCGAGTGTTAATGAAACTTAAACGTCAGTACTCTGTGGCTCATTGTCTGGATTGGGGGCACATCGTAACCGTAGTAAATGAAGGATGGGCGTGGTGCAGATATTGGAGTGAAATCCAAATCGTGTTTTGCGCGAGAACGATACGCTTAGCCCGAAGAATTCGGGTTTCGAATTTTCGAGCGAAGTCGATCCGACATAAAATGTTGCATTGCATGAAAGCTTAAGATTGATTTAAATTAATTTAGAAACAAATTAGATGTCTTTTTTTTAATTAAAAATGCATGGCGCTATAATTAAGGATTTAGAATGAAAATGGTAGGGATTGAATATCAAATAATTTAAAAGATCTTTTAATATTCTTCTCATTTAATTATCTCTTCGAAAGTATTGATCTTTTCGCGAAGTTAGAATTATATTTAAATGTGTAACTGGCTGGATTTGCTCTCTTATAAAAATTTACTTGTATTTTAATTTTGTGTCAAATGTAGGGCATTGCAAATCTCAGGATCGGTCCTGATTTTGAGAGAGGCTTTCAGTGCGCATTTAGCACTGAATAGCACTGTTGTTTGGATCCCCGCGTATTTCTGTACGATGCGTAACGTAGAGAAGACCCGTCCGCAATCAGTTCTACGCTTGCGAGGTAAAAATGGGAAATTTTACAATCGATTGCAAAGTTAGCTACAACGCCGACTACAAATCGACGTTTCATCACACACTGATTGCTGCGTCACGCGTTTGCAAATTACATCTGTATTTCCTTGCATTCCCTGAGCATCGAAGCATTTGCATATGGATGAGGCTATCGTTTCTCAATTAATTGACATTTGTACTCGTTGTTACATGCGAATTAATCGCAACGCTCAATCATCTTTCAATAATTTGCAGATGTGATTTGCGTACTCGCGAGCGAGCAAACAAACGAAGAAGCGGACGCGCCAGAGTCATGAAGATTCGATTTTATATCGCGAGGTATCGCCAGCATGCGAGACTCGCATAAAAACATTATTCACGTTTCGCAGCGCGTGTTTCGCCGCGCCGCGCCAAACGCGCTCTCAGTGCAGCGCGTTACATCCGCGGAAAACGCATCGTCTCCGGCGTCCGCTCGTGGTGAATTGGTGAAACGTGGGAAGAGGAGAGCGGACGCTTATTTTTATCGCGCAACGGGATCAGGTATACCGGTATTCATTGTTTTCCTGCGAAAACGTTATCCGAACAGACGCCGAATACGGCGCGAGAATCATATTCCGGCCGCGAAAGAGCGTGGCCGTCGTCGTCGTCGTGTTTAATCGAGCGGCCTGAAGAACGTGACCCAGTGATATACGCTACTACTACTACTACTATTACGAACGCGACAATGAAGCGGACGAAGCCATCAATGACATAAGGACTGAATGATAATATCGCGCTACTCGCGACGATGAACGGCGACGGCCGATCAAGGGCGCCGGATCTTACATCGCACATCGGAAGAGGAGCAGCCGATAGACGCTTGACTTTCGGCTCTTCCGGTGTATTTTTAGCGCCTACGCACGTAACCGAGATATATATTCGCGATAAAATTGCCGCGTATCATAGCCGGATTAATTGCTGTTGCTCGCGGCGAATAAACTGGGTCGGTCGGTTGCCTGTGGTAAACGAACTTCGGCAATAACAAACATTATACACCGAGAAAATGTTACGTTAATCCGTTTAATAGGCTTATACGGCCGTTAATGAATGCCCCGTTTAATCCCAATAAAGCTACGACGTGGAAGACGTTGAGGCTTCGCGGCATCACATTGCGTTATATTGCAAGATTTTTTTACTTTGTTGTTTCCCGCGGTGTTGTGCAGAAAAATTAATCTGCCAAGTTCTAATCTCTCGATTAAACTAAAATTGATTATATTAGATCTGGAATATATAAGTCTGAAATGAATCTGGAATTTCACGCGACTGAAGCGGCGACTTATTTTGTAAGATTTCGTAAGTTTACTCGTTTTTACATAACATCGTGAGCGATATGCAGACCAGGGCAAGCGATACGATAGACTGATAACTGCCGAACGGGATGTTGCGAAGAGGCTTGCAAAAAGTCGCGAGCGCGCCAGCGACCGAATCGCACGAGCGGGATATCGCGTGTACGAAACTACGTGTTACAACGGTACAAATTACACCGCGTGAATAAAAAGGTCGCGTTACGCGAGCGTGAGGGAGAAGGTTCTTCCGGCACGCCTTGACTTATCGGAAACGTCCGTGAACGTGTACCGTTGAATCCTTCATCGACGTTACGTGTCGCGCGCGCCGATCCGATTAGTCGCCGCACGCGAAAGAAGCGTAGTGCGGTCTCTCTGATTGCGATTGATACTATTCTGGTACATGACGTGCCGCGCGTCAACGTTTTAACTGCACTCAACGAGATTCGACGTGATTATTGTGTGCCTTTTCGCTGGCGTAGCTTGCGTCGGAAGATATAGGTCACCGGCTATGAGGTCGGGCGCGCGTGGATAGAAGTAGCGGCGACTTTTCGAGAGAGTGGAGAAGGCGCAGCGCGCGGAATCGCCGCGGCTCTCTTCGGCCACGGTGTCCTTGAACATCGTTAAAATTAGCACTTCTACGTTACAGTTTCTACGGTACGTGGCTATTGCTCGCCCGTCCGCATTCGTATGTTTACATTAATTTTAGATATTAAATGAGCAACACCGCGAGTTCCGTGGATAGCGCGTGACGTCACTCCATGGTCGAACCATGAGGAAATGGGGTAACGGCGCAGTCGGATTCGATCTTCTTAGAATCGCGCCGAAATTGTTGAAATGTAGCTCAAGAGTATCCCCGAGAGCACGGACGTGTCGGCGTGCTAAAGATATTCGCGTCAGAATTCCTCGCATTCCACGAAAACAATGAGAGCGAATAACATCTAAAGTACTTGGCAACAATTAATGAATCAGGAAATTACATTCATTAAGTCATTAATTGAGGAATTTATATTTTTCATTAATATTGTCTTTCCATCATGATGATATTTACGATGCTTAGGCTAAAGAGAATGATGCAACATTTATGGAAATAATGTTCGGAAAAATATGCAACTGTGAAACATTAATGTACGTAGGCTCTTCGTTTCAACTGGAAGTATTCTCGATCAGCATTAAGCTGCCCGGAGTTAATTCGTGATTATGCTAACGGTAGGACACAGAGAGAGAGAGAGAGAGAGAGGAGGGAGGGGGGAGGGGGAGAGAGAGAGAAGAGAG